TAAAAAATTCAAGAAATATTTTAAAGAGGACCTCTTGCATTTAGGGTTTGTAAACTACCTAGTAGCTCCCTGAAAGTTAATTGTGGTTTGTGCTTTTTTTTTTTTTTAATTGTAAGCAGTTTCATTTTGTTCAGTGTGCATCAAATATGAGACTTTCTTTGCACAGCCTGGCATAAAATGCTAATTATTTAGACTTTTATTATGCCATGTGCATTGGTGTTATAGAGATCATGTACATGCATGCCATCATGGTAACTATGTCTGTAGTGTGTACATGCTGGCACTGAACCTTAAAAGATTTATAAGTGGTATAGCAAATGCATTTGCAGCTTATTATAGCCAACTATATAACATTAGAAAAGACACCAATACTCCAAACGCAACTGCCTTGGCCTTGGTGTCACTTCCCAGGTTGTCAACACTGGACTTAAAAGGATTAATCACTCCATTTTCACCCTACGAGGTAGTACAGGGTATAACTACATTATTCAATCAATGCTTCTTGAGTGGGGTGCTACCCACAGAGATGCTACAAGCTCACATAAGGACACTCCCGTAGCTAGGAAAGCCTCCCATCCAGACAAGTCTGTACCAGTGGTGCTGTTTATCCTAGTAGCACACTGTTCTATTACGAGCTTAAATACTCAAATTATTCTCTGCCCAACAAGCAATTCAGATCTTAAAACTAGATTTAACTTCAAATTTCACACATCGCACATAGCATATTTAGGAATCAACTAAATATGAGCACTATATTTAAATATAACAACGCTCCACTTCTTCAAAAGTGTGGAACTGAAGTAGAAAGATGGATTCACGTACCATTATCATGGGCAGGGAGAATAATTACTGTAAAGATGATGGTGCTTCCTTGTATTTTGTATGTTTTTAGATTGCTCCCTATTTCTTTGCCTCCAAAGTATCGCAAGGCATTGCATAGCCTACTCACAAGATTTATTTGGGAAACCAGTAAAACCAGGCCGGAGTAAGAGTCCATTGGGCCAGGTGCTGACAATTATGATGGGCCTAATTACAGAATCTTATCCACAGAAAACACTTTAACAGTTATACCTCCCAGGCGTAATTTATCTGGTGGAGGAGGGCTGGAGGAAAACTCACAGGAAATAGCCATCAGAAAACACATACCCTATGCTTATCTCTCGCTTTCATCTTTCAAGTAAATCTATACCCCCTAACAGCAGTGTCCAGTGAAGCAGGCTTTCAGTAGGTAAAAAGAGTGGGCCACTGATGTGTCACGTAACCAAAACCGCCCAAAAGGGACAAAAATACCCAAAACACGGCATATCTGCACAAAGAATTAAATGGTCAACCTGGAATGAATGCACGTCAGGCCACCTGCCAATCATACTGCGCAGACAACATCCTCAGCTTGGCATAAATGCTCTAATGAGTCACTAGCTCTATGCTTTCTAAGAACTGTCCCCTAGCACTCGCTGGTCCACTCCTCTCCTTACCTTCTTACGAGTAAGCAGAAGCTCCTGTTATACAGTCTGGGACGGAGAAGAAGTGTATGTAGTGAGTGTAGAAGAAAAGGAACATGCCACAGTGTTAGAGAGACTGAAGTAGCAAGCGCATTTGAATAGTGCGCAGTCAGCTTTACCTTAACTATATCATTGTCAGCTAGTCCACATCTCTTTTATTCACCCAACATCCCTCTTAAGTGTCCATACTTAATCAATGGGTCTATTCTATAGGCATGGGCCTGGAGCTGCAGCTCCATCAGCCCCTATGTAAATCCGGCCCTGTGTAAGACTAGACTCCTGCTCCAACAACCCTCTTCACGTGGGAGAATGAGAGTACCGCACATACTCTTATATTATAAAGCAGCAGTATTAGAGTCAATAATATCTATGCATGCTCCAAAGGGCATGATACAATGGGTCGATATGGAGGTGAGACATGGTCAGAAGCTACCTCTGCTAGAGATGCTATGGGTGTCACCGATCTTTAGACCAACAGCACCTAACTTATTCCTTACTAAGTAACTCCTATTCAAAGTTTGTAGTGGGCTGCTCAAGCAAAAAGAGTAGAGAAATACTTCCTCCCTGCTGCTCCCTTGATGGCATTAACGGCGTACTTACTGTGGTTGGCGTTGCAAAGGGTGGCAAGAGGTGGGTATTATGCACTAATCTGAACTACTCTTACAGAGCAAATTACAAACATTCCCAAGTATCCATACCTCCTTTAGCCTCCCACCAAGTTATGTGTTCCTATACTTGAAGATCAAAAAATTGCGCAGGTCTTATCTAGTTAACCTAGTAATCTATTCCTGCATGATGTCTTCCTAATATCAACTGTTAGTGAATAGATGCTGGGGAGACCCAATGAAACCTAAAGAACTTTCTCTCTATTACAAAGTACTAGAGAAAATCTATTTGGATATGTCCCTTGCAAAAACGATGGAAGGATGACTGTGGTATGAGACAAGTCATCGGGGGCTCTTAGAGGAGTGACAAAGTGTTACTACCACATAGAGGCTCATTGCAAACTAGTCTATCAATGGTTCCTAACCCTATCTCATCTGCATAAAATATGCAGTTTCACCAACTTGTGTTAGATGTGAGGAAGGGGAGGGTAGTGTATCATTCTGCACATTTGGTGGTCCAGTCCTCCCAAAAAATACAGCCACTTTGGAAGGTAGTAGAAGGGACATTGTCAGCAATGCTGATTTTTTATAGAGCCACTTGAACCCTTTAGATATACATAGAATTTAACATATGCATGTGTCACTAGCTATGTAACACCTTATCGATTTAAATTGGAAACAGTGACTTCTTTGGTGGAGAGGATTAATCTTGACTATATTTATGAATTAATGTGCATGAATGATGTTGCTCAACTAAATAAATTAGATAAAATATGGCCACCATGGTTATTGTATAAGTCAGGAAGCTCACAGAAATATTATTAACAGTTGGGGTGGAGGGGGTAGAAAAAAAAGCCATTAGTGAAAATGTCCACTAAACAAAAAGGAATGAATCGGGCACCGATATGTCTACACGCATTCCCTTTCGTTTCCCTTTCTGTCTGGGAAATCCCTCAAAATTTAACAAATGTGCTTATGATTAAACATCTTACAGATTTTGATACCTACTGATTTTTCCTCACCCTTTAATTTGGTTTGAGATGCCAGATGCAAGAGATGCCAGAAGACCGAGAGTTAACCTTGCACACATTACAAGGCTAATAAAGTACATTTGCTCATCAAACATCTCATTTCAAATTTACGGATATTAATTTGGAGTTAGTGTTCCCTTTGATGCTTTAATAGCCTCCCACTTCTGTGAAAGTTTTCTAATTTATACAATGATGTTTAATATAGTTGAGGTCAGAGTGGGCTTGTCCACTTTTTCTATGCTAATCTTAACAAAATGTCTAGTATGGATTGTACTTTGTCCACAGAACAGTTTAGAGCAAAATTTGGAAAAACTTCTTTTCAAAAATGACATAGTAATCGCAGAATAATCTTTTTTTTTATCATTCTTTATTTTTGTTATGCTGGTGGTACATAAGGTCAATAATTTCACAGTGACACAGCTTTTTGATAACAATTGAATAACAGCATTGTAACACATGTCATTAAGTCAGCACTATTTAGTAACAATAGGTAAACAGCAGGTATTCGATGCCTGAGAAATGAACATGATAGTATTGCCAGGGGATCATATGTAGTTCGGGACGGTTCTCTTACAGGCGATAAGTTCATGTGGCAGCTCCCTACATGGGAGAGGGAGTACAAAAGGGTGATACGTGGAGATAAATCAATAGGCCAACTGGGGTGCAATATTGGATCTGGGGCATATTAAACTGGAGGAGCTGGATCCTAACCACAGGGGAGTGAGATGTATCACATATGTATCACCTATCGGGTTACTCCTAACCAAGGGAGCCGCCCAGGGGAGATGGTGAATAAATGCTTGCCAGCAGTAATGTATTAAGTGTGCTAAAGTAGTAGATGGGTTGGTAACCCGTTAGAGTTCATCCACGTCAGCTCCTGTACAGGCTCATATAGACAAGGTGAGTGTATTAGGCAGATAGGTTTATTGTAGAACCTAGGAACAGGTGGTACGGCGAGAGAGATAACATAACACTGAACTTCATACTGCACAATGATGATCAGCAGTAAGAGTGGCAGGTATAGTCAGGTGGTCTGAGAAGTGGGCCTTTCAGCTCTAGGTACAAAGGACTGCACAATGGCTGGATCCCAAGCATGGGGTGTGGTGTGATTAAGTTCATTGGAGGATGGTCTAGAGAGGCCCACTGTAACTAAGAATGCGGTGGCTTCTGTTGCGGAATCTAGCCGGTGTGTAGTATCAAGTTGGGTCACCAGCAGGGTTCTCTGTGTTCCCCATCTGTAGCTGATGCCTGCTGAGTGCAACTGGGTTGTGATGTGTCGGAGGGACCTGTGCCACTGCAGGGTGGCTCTGGTCAGGTCTTGGTGCATGTAAAATTGTGTGTCCTCAAATGTATAAGGCGTTTGTCCCTTCAGTGCTGCCAAGAAGTGCCCATTGTCTTGCGAAGTTGTGCAGCGCCTGATAACATCTTGCGGGGCTGTCGCGAGAGACTTGGGTATTCTGTGCAGTCTATAAGCCCCATCAATGCTAACTCTCTTGGCTACTTGGGGGGTAACACAGTTGTCACCAAGCGATGGAGATAATGGGGAAGTTCTTCTGCCGTTATTGTAGTTGGTACCCCTCTTACCTTTACGTGGTTATGCCAGAAGCGATCTTCCAGAGCTGAAAGTTTGATGGTGTAACCCTGTTGGGTAGATTGAAGTTTGTGGAAGGAGTCCTTCATATTAAAGACCTCAGTATGCAGTTCTATCATATCCTCTTCTGTGTCCTTCACTCTGTTCTCATTACAGCTAGGTCTGTTGCCCGTAGCTTTTGTATGTCAAACAGAAGGGTCTGAATGTCCTGCTTTGTGGCAAGGTTATCTGTCAGAGTTTCAAGGTGAGTAGATACTGCAGGCTCTTGTTCTTATGAGAGGGGTGTCCCATTGTTGACCGGCCAGTCATTGGAGGCCAACATGACCACTTTCTCCTTGACTGCAATATTGGTTTGTGGCTGCCTCTGTAGCATGGTGCTGATTTCGCGGGTATCAGGCACAACCCCGGGTAAAGGCTTCTGCGATTTCCAACCCATGATTTGCGTGGTGGTTGTGGTTGGCAGCAGCTGCTGGAATGTAGCCTCTGTATCGCTTTCGTGGAGCGATCCACCAAGGAGTGTGTCCCAGTAAGGAAAGCTAGGCGTCTCTGCTTTGCTGTTTTTGGTGCCTGGAAGAGAAGCATAGATGGATGCAGGAGTTTCAGCAGTATTGAAGGGAATGTCTGACTGAGCTGAATGGCCTCCGTAGTGAGTGATTATGGTCATATTAGCTCAAGGTCAGCCACAGAATAATCTTTTTAAGTAATTGCCTTGTATTAAATAAACTTTAATCTTCTCTAGAACTAAGGGACTTAGCCCCCACCCTCCCCCCAAAAAAGACATGCCAATAAAACTGTGGTCCAGCTCTGTGGGCTTGTCTGATCTACCACTGCTATAGTTGTTTACCCTTTACAATAGCAGCACTTACAGCTGTCTTCGCAGCTCTAGCAAGGCAGGCATTAAGCATGTGGCTAAACAGCTCAGCCTCTCATACTCTCACACTGTATCCCTGGACAAGTTCTAAATTACTGTATGGCATTATAAACGGCATCCAAACACACACCTGATGCTTAAATCAGTTGATGCCTGTCTACAAAATTCTATGACATACCAACCAGTACAGGGGCGCACTGTAATATAAGCATGACAATGATTATTAATTTATTAGCTGCTAAGCAATTGGGGATCCTTATTAATTTATATTAACGGGTTGACATACTTTTGGGGAACAATTCAGTTCTTTTTGTTAGACATTGTGCAAATCTATACATCATTTGTTTGAATTGACAACATATTTTGTCATGTTGCTAAGCAACAATTATTTCCCCCGTCAAAAAAAAAAATCCAGTTCTGAAAAATTAAATTTCTTATATTCATCAAACTATACATGGAATTTAAAAAAATACCATGCATGCCACAAACAATGGAATTGAATACATTTCAATTTTAAAAAACCATTAAGATTTTTTTGCGCCAAAGGAGCATTTAGCATTTAGTGGCTATTTATACATGCCAGATATATGAGCATTATATTCTCCTTCTTTTCATAAAGAGAAGATAGAAGAGCCTAGACTAGGATTGTTTTCAAACATCTTTTGTTTCATTTCAATCCTTGTTTTAAAAGAATTCAACAACCTGCAATCTTCTAGAACATACAGGGATAGCATAGTGCCTGCAATTTAAATTCACTCCCTACATCTCACAATCCCCAGGTTATGCATAAAATCTCATCTTCTCAAACTTCCTCTACATCCTCCCTCTTAAAGAGTTGTAAGACGTTAGCTGCTTTTATATTGGTTGTCAGTTTCATGATTGTCCTGATGGTATATTAGCCGGTACAAAGTGAACGTTAATTATCCAAGCTAAAAATGTTTGTCAGCCATTCAATATGAGATGGTAAATAGGATTTGTACATCGAATTTAAATTTCAGATGTGCTAGGCAGCCTGGTTATGTATAACTCATCCTCTTAATGCAACTATCTCCGAATTTGATTTTCTTGCATAATAAGTAAGCATATACTCAACACATGAATTGACTGCGTTAAAAAGCCTTGATGCTCAGCTACGGATAACATAATGCAAGAATCATCAGTGAGGCAGTTCTACAGGTGCTTGAATGTCATAGAGGCTAATGCATCGAAAATTCATGATTCATGGACCATGAACTTTCTTTAGCATCTTTCATATTTGACAGGTTATTACAGTGACGTATATTTAGCAATGCATTTATGTATCTGAAGGATTTATTTTGCTGGCAGGAATACAATACAACATAACAGTTGATACAATGAGTATTCTGTCAAGGCTGCCACTAATGTCATGTATTCAGTCAGAGTAGTGGAATAAAGCAGACTTTCGCCCTTGTAAACAACTGAATGATAATGAAAATCACTACTTTTCAAATTTAAGATATTTGCTGACATAGTGTTTTCACAGAAACTGATGTGTTATAAGGACAACCCATAAAAAAAGTTTGGCAGGTGCATTGAAAACTTTTCACACTTTCTGTGTCAATAGACAGAGTAGCTGCTTTACGTTATATACATGTGTCCAAGAGTGCCATGTAATTTAATGTTCCAAAGCAATAATTTCAAGGCACTTACACAAAGTATTTTGACAGGTAGAGAGCACAGTGACATCAATAATGCAAATGACAGTAATCCTACAGTAATTAAAATTCTCTTACAAAAAATTATGTAGAGAGATAGAGGGAAAAAGACCTAACGTGGAAAAGCTCTAAAACTGGATAAAAATAGGAGTCCACCAAAAACCTATTAAAGCAAAATGAATGAAATATGCTGCACAAGAAATGTAGCAATAGGAACCCAGGAGCTAATAAATACTAAATACTAAAAGAGACTGATAATGCAGGATAGCAAATGTTAAAAATCTACAGAAATATAGAATATATATCTGTTTAAAACTATATTTGTGTGGCAAGATTATCTCATAACCCAGGAAACCAAAACCTTGGGAAAAGGTAATTTATGCCAGATAATATACTTTCACTCACTCCATCTGATGAAAGCTAAAAAAGTGATTAAAAATATATTAACTATAAAACTGTCATCTTCACAGTGTTGTATAATAAAGAGTATCTATAATTGGGCAAAAAACCAGTACATGGAACTGGCTGCCCTAAGCAATATAAAGAATGTATCACCAAAAAATAATTTAAAAGTAACACAAATTTATTTGTTCAAAACGTAAAAATATATTAAAAGATAGATTCACACATAAGGCAATAGATGCTGGAAGGTAAAATATGCACAAAAACCTTAAGCACTGGCACGGATGGATGTGGATGGTGATCCTGATACAGTAACTGAAATCTGGTGACCGGTGAGGTCGGTATGCGTTTCACAGTGCGTTCCACCTCGAGCCTCACTTCGGGGGAGCTGCACTGCTAATCGGATCTTGCAGTTCATACACAAGTATTCCAAACAGATCGCCGGGCTGCTGTGCTGGTACCTCTCTCTTATCGCTGTGTGAGCGTTCTGTGAGCTTGGACTTGTCTGACGCGTTTCGTAGGGGATAGCCCTACTTCCTCAGAGACATCCTACAGTGCCTTGTAAGATGTGGACTCCAGCACGGGGAGTTAACTTTGTCTCCATATTGCAAAAAAACAAACAAAAAAAAAACCAGTGAAAATTAGAACACTTAATAAAATGTATTATTTAACACATGGTAAGAACACAGAAATTGGTGGTATTTACCCCTGACAGAAAAAACAATGACAATATTAATCAACACCTGTCACTAACCCTCAATGACCAACAAACATCCAACTAAATAACAGAATAAAATAAAGCCAAATTAGCTAAGAATTCAAATACAATTCATAAATAAATAATACATTCAATACAAATTCATTATCTCTGTTCCTAATCTAATCTATTGGTGCTAAAGGCAGCATTGATAAATGAGGTAAGGCTTGATAAAAATGGATTTCCCTCAAAAATGGATGAATGAGAGGTTCCTCTCGTTCTCTACCTAAGGAGAGACTTCAACTTCCAAACCAGAACTAAAATCCCACCAGACTGAAACTACAGTCCACGGCTGGTTTCTGGTCACCGATCCTTTTGGATCATATACCATGCTTTAGTTTTTTTTTTAAATGCTTTGTTTGAAACAATGTCCATTGCTAAGAATATCTGCGGAAATGCAGTAAGAAGTATAAAACTGATGCCAGTCTGTGCTCATTTGCAGGTCGAACTTGAAAACAGAATTTCTTGTGTTTCTATGCCCCATAAAGACTTCTGAAAATCCAACTTGAGATATGTAGGTGACGCATAACTGTGTTGTTTATATTTGCACTGTGGGGAGTTTTATCATGTTTTATCTCACCACAACCTTTTTGCTATCTGTCTATATCTAGCGAGACAGTAGATCATATCATGACTGGATAGGCGCTTACCGTATATACTCGTGTATAAGTCGATCTCATGTATAAGTCGAGTGCAGTTTTGTGACCAACAATTGTGAAATATGCTATGCCTCGTGGATAAGTTGAGGGTAAAACTTGAGGCTATGAAATTCTGTGATTTTTATAATTATATACACACACACTCTTGCAAACACACACACTGCTTTATATACACACACACTCATAGAAACACACACTCTGCATTATATATGCACACTCTGTGTGTATATAATGCAGAGTGTGTGTGTTTGTGTGAATGCAGAGTGTGTGTGTGTGTATGTATAATGCAGAGTGTGTGTTTCTATGAGTGTATGTGTATATAATGCAAAGTGTGTTTGTATGAGTGTGTGTGTATATAATGCAGTGTGTGTGTTTGTATGTGTGTGTGTATATAATGCAGTTTGTGTGTTTGTACGAGTGTGTGTATATAATGCAGAGTGTGTGTTTGTGTGTGTAGTGTGTGTGAACTGGGTGGGGGGAGGGCATTTTTATTATTTTTTTATTTTATTATTTATTTATTTTTAATTTTAATATTTTAATTTTTTTATTGAAATATAATTTTTTTCATCCCCCCTAGGTTGACTAAAGACAGAAGTCAAAGTGAATTCAAAGTAAATTTCAAATTTAAGGAAAAAATTGTCAAACTGGAAAGATTCTCTTAGACAGCTATGTTTCCAGTTTAGCTACCCTGGCCTTAAATCTGAACTTCACTTTGAATTATCACTTTGATAAATACCCCTGAATAGTTTTTCTAAGATCTGAACAGAATTCAGGTATAAAAATAGAAGCTATTATCAAACCTATAAAAACTGGTTGGTGCATGCACTTATTTAAAGGAAGTGATGCAAGCATTCATTAATGCATGGTTTTGTATGAATCAAGCTACATTTAAGATAAGGAAAGACTTGAGGAAATCACTTGAGTGACCTAAAATGCTGACCAAGCCACTAGCATTAGACACAATGAATATCAGAAGGAGGAGGTGGGATGGGTTCAAAAAAGACACTAGACTATAGACTGATCAGCCACAACACCAAAACCACCTGCCTAATATTGTGTAAGTCTCTCTCATGCTGCCAAACATTTCTGATGCGTCAAGGCATGGACTCCACAAGACCTCTGAACAGATCCTATATGTATCTGGCATCATTAGAGGCAGATTCTGCAAGTTGGGAGGTGTGACTCCATGGATTAGATTTGTTATTCCAGAACATCCCACACATGCTCAATCAGATTGAGATCTGGGGAATCTGGAGGCCAGGTCAACATCTCAAACTCTTTGTTATGTTCCTCAAACTA